GAATGAATGAGTAAATGGATGAACAAAAGACTCTATCTACAGGTGCCGGATGCATGTTTCAAACTCGTGTGTAGTAGAGAAGCCTTGGGTTGACTTGTTTTCCAAGTAGCCTGACAGAGGAAAAAGCCAGCGTACTCAGCCCTTCAATACTGGGATGTCCTTGACTAGCTCAGCTCACAGCTGCGACTCCAAAGAGCCTTGGATGAGTCAGCCTGGCCCACTCGTAATAGTAAAGGTCACCACTCGCATAGTGCTGACCATGAGGCAGGCCTGACTTTCGGGGCTTTGCCTCACTGAATCCTCATAGTAACTCCATGAGGAGGTACTATTACTAGCCGTATTTTACACATGAGCTGCAGAAAGAGAGAGTAGAGAAATCTGTCAAAGTCATACAGCCAGACGGTGCTAAAGCTGGGATTTGGACCCTGTGGTCTGGCTCTAATGCTCGAACTCCTAACACCACATTGTATTGCTCCCCGCCCCCCCCACAACCCGTAAGGCCTCTTCATAGACTCATATCACACTCTGGGCACCTACTTGCCCCCAGTAATATTTTACACACTCACAGACTCTCCTACCTCATGTAGGTAACCAGGAAATCAATCACTCTTTATAGGATGTAGTATATATATACACACATAAATATCTCTCGAGAATATATATATATGCAGAAGATAAATATGTCTCATTGATACATTTATATTTAGTGTGAAAGATTTATTATGAGAGATTGGTTCACATGTTTATAGAGGCTGAGACATCTGATATGTCTTCTCCAATCTGGAATCCCAGGAAAGCCTGGGCTGTAACATAGTTAAGTTCCAGTCAGAGGCCTGAGAACCAGAGGAGCTGATGGTATAATTCCCAGTCTAAGGGCAGAAAGGACCATATCTCAGTTCAAGCAGCCAGGCAAAGGACAGATTTTCTCTTCCTCTGTGGGTTGTTCTATTTAGGTGCTCAGCGGATCTGTGCAGAGGGAGGGTATCCGCATTACTACATCTACCAATTCAGATGCTAATCTCATCTAGAAACACCCTCCGGGACATGCCCAGAAATAATATTTAGCCAAAGATCTGGGTACCCCATTGATACAGTTATGTTGGCATATAAAATGAACCATCACAGCTTCCTTCTGTACAAATGTTTCAGGGACACAGTCAATCTCACAGAATCAGAAAACATTAAAGTCATGAAGACTCAGACTGCTGGAATGGTCATAGGTGAAGAGCAGGGCACTGTGGAACAGACACCTGATGCCTGCTTCCTGGGAGAGCGGGGACAAATTGCTCAACTTCTAGAAAATGCTTTCTCTCCCAGCCTGGGCCCCAGAGTCACCTGGGGAGCTGTGTAAATCCTGAAGGCCACCCATCTCTGAGTGACCCACTAACTCAGAGTCATGGGAGGCAGGACAGAGCAGTCCCCACATGTGCAAACCCGCTGGGGACTGAGTCACAATTAGCTGAACACTATCTGCTGCTGGTAGTTCAGCCTGAAGCTGATTTAGGTTCTTGTCACTCCGACTTCTCCTTGGTCCTGACATGCCTGGCCACCGAGAAACGGGTGACTTGCCCAGAGCCAGAGCACTTCCATCTTCTCAGCCATCTTTACCTGTTTTCTTTTCTTTCTTTTCTTTTTTTTTTTAAGCAGCTCAGTTCACAATCACAAAGATGTGGAAACGACCTAAGTGCCCTTCAACACACGAAAGGATTAATACACTGTGGTGTATGTATACCATGGAGGACTATTCAGCCATAAAAAGATGAAGATTTTGCATCTTTTACCACTTTTCTTAGTGGGTCTTGTCTCAGTAAGTCAGCCTGGCAGACTAAACCGCTACTGTGTCTAACTTCTATCCCTTCCCACTTACCTCTCTTTGGACTGTCTGTTGCTCTAAAGCCCGGGAGGAACAGGCAGCTTAAAGTACGAGAGACAAGTGCTAGTTTTGTACCCAACTTTGATCCAAAGGGTTCTGATATTTCCCCATAAACCTGATGTCAACTATCTATTTGTGTTTGGAAATAATTTCTGTTTAATTATCAATACCTTAAAACATCTTTTTGTTCCTAACTAGCTAAAATGTTTATTTTTTAAATTTTAACTTTTATTATTTTAGTAAATCATAAAAAGTTGTAGTTTATCAAATGCCTTCAGAGCATTTATTAAAAGGATAAAGCTATTATCCCATTTGGCCATGTAAGTGCTACTTTATATTATTAGGTGTCCTAATATGAAACCATCCTTGCATTCTGCATTTCTATAGCAAATCCTGCTAGGTGATAATAGATTAGTTGACATTATTCTGGGGGGTCAGGAGTATCTTTTCCCTCCGATTCAATGTCAAGATTATGTTGACTTCTTAAATGGGGCAAGACTCTCTTTTTTTTTTCACACTGAAACTGTAAAGGACATAGGAATTGTCTATTCCCTGAAAATTTGAGAGAACTCAACAGGAAAATTACATGTACCTAGAAGTGTTTTCAGAATATTAAAGAGGTATTTTTAACTTTAAAATACTATCTCAAGGTTTTTTCTCCAATTTTTTTCAGGTTATTTATTAACTTGATTCACTTTTAGCCATCTTTATTTTTGTCAGAAAATCATCAGTAACTCAGTTATCTGTGTTTTTATATTCCTAAAACTCTTTTTTCCCCCACTCACTTATTTACTCTGAAACTTCATTTTTATCTCTTATTTTATCTGGGTTTCTGTACTGTATGTGCCTAAGGTTGGGTCGGTGCAAACACCCTTTCTCAAATAAAACAATTATTGACTTTATTAATCTTGCTTTTTTGCTGGATTATTTTATCATTCCTAACTGTTTTCTTTATTACTTCCTTCTTCCTATTTTTGTGAGGCTATTTTTTGTCTTTTTCTTTCTAAAATCTATGAGTTGATTGCTTAATTCATGTTTTTTGTTCTATCTTGTTTAATAATGAATGCAGCTGAGGCTGTGGGTTCATCTAAGTATAGCCTTTTCAATTTTGCAAATATTTTAGAAGAAGGAAATCAATATTTATTGAACACGTACTCTGTCAGAGGCTGCACTGAGTATTTCACATCCCTCCTCATTTGTAAATGGAAGGACTTGTCCTGCTTTGCACGGCCAGTGGGAAACTACCAGAGACACCCCAGAACGCCGGCACCCAGGCCTCGGCAAGGCTGTTGGATGCCAGCCTTTGCCTGGGTTGTTGTATCACTCTATTCCCCCAACTGTCCTTATAATTTGTATTATGAGGCCAATTTTACACATGAGGAAACAGAGGTTCAGCAAAGTAAAGCAAATTGCTCAAGGTCTCAAGGTTACTCAGGGAGAAGTGCCAGGGCAAGTACCAGGTCTGTTGAACAGGCTCCCCAAGTTCCACCCACCCCCACCCCCTGCTCTGGGGAGCCCTGGAGAAAAAGCCACAGGACAGCAGTGAAGAAGAGCCATGGCTGGGGGGCAGGGAAACCCAGCCAGACTGTCTCCATTCCTGGTCCCCAAACCCTACAGCCTCATATCTGCTTTACTTACTGTGTGTGGAGGAGAAAACAGTGGAAGGCAGTTTAGTGAGATGATGTCCACCACTGGGCCAGGGTCTTGGCCCCTTAGTCTGCATCCCCACCAGGAAACTCTGGCAGTGTGGAAAGGGCTGGTAGGTTCTAGAAGGACCATGACTCGGTACAATAGTCTATTGAGGAAATGAATCCATTTCTACTTTGCAGGCCTGCTTTCTGGAGATTTATTTGTTAATATAAAAAGAATGATACAGGACCAGTTACCAAATTACACAGACCTATGCCACAGAACCCAGGCAGAGCTGCACAGAGAGGAGACTGAGGGTAATTCCATGGCCTCCTAGTGGAGACAAGCTGAGAGCTGGCTAGCATGGGGCAAGAGCCAGACCTACAGTCTGGTCTCTCCCCAAATGTCCAGGGGTCCCCTTTAAGGCCTTGCAATTCTTGTGCCTGCTGCTCCCGCTGCCCCCAGCTTTCCCCAGACCTGGCAGAGGGCTGGTGCTGGTGGGTGCCTGGGAGTGGCCAGAGAGCTGACACGTGCACACCTTGCATCCTGATGGTTGGACTTGAACCTGGAGTCCAGAATGCCTAAGCTGATTTCTGAGAGATACATTTCCCAAGAAAAGCTGTATTATGAAAAGCTATAGTACTTTATTATATTTATAAAAGTCTCCTCTAATAAATGTCGTATCCTATTTATTTTTGATGATTTGTTTATAACCTCTTAACAAAACACTGGCCTGTGGGATGGGAATGGCAATTGCTACAAGGATCCCGAGTCCTTATTGATGTCATTGCCTCCTGCATGCTTATGCCCGTATGGCCTGTCCTGTCAGGTACATTTACAGCCCCCTGACACCTGCCTTCCCGAGAGTAACAAAGCCTGAAGAAGGAAGAGAACTTTGCTAACTTCAGTTGGAAGCACCTTTTAAAGAATTAACCTCTACTCCTAGAGACAAAGCCAATGATATCTCAGGCACCGTACCGGGACATAAAGACATGAGAGATGCTCATAGCTCTTCTCCCTTTTTTCCACACAGGATTTGTCAAGGGGCCCTCCACACTTCATCCTGGAAGGTGCAAGCAAATTTGACATCCAACAAGGAAGGGCGGGTAAGAACTCCAGGTCTTCCCTCTTGGCCCTGGATGAGGGCAGGCTGCCCCGAGTCACAGGTGGGCATGGGGAGCAGAGGAGGACGGGTCTGTGCCAGCTTCTGAAGGGGCAAGGCTGGCTCCTGGGGCTGCCATACTGGACTACTCACACTTGGTCCTGCAGCCTGCAGCCACCTGCCCATGCCCAGATGCCCAACTGCTCAGCAGTGGGTGTGCAGGGCCATTTCGGGTGAGGTGTTACCAAAGGAAGGAAGAAAACAAACTGGTTGTTTAGTCTGAGCATTGAGCACAGGGAAGCCTCAGCTGCTGGGAGAGGGGAGGGAAAGAGAGACAGAAAAGAGAGAGGCAGACAAACGTTGAGGTCTGCTATGGCACGGGAGACATCTGCACGTGTGATGCCACTCACTCCTTGCAAGTCCTCATTTTATATGTGTGGAAATGGAGAAGCTATGTGGTAGAATAATTTACTTAATGTCACACAATCAGTAGCTGACAGGGTCGAGAATCCAGGGCTGTCTGATTCTCTGGTTCCCACCCCACTAGGCAGCCCCAGAGCAAGGGGCTGCTCAGAGCCAGAGGGTGTGGACAGGGACACAAGGTCTGCCTAAGAGCAGGCCCCTGGGTAGTCCCAGATCAAGATAGGCCCAGGAGGAAGACGCCCAGAGTGGAAGGGCAGAACTGCTGGTCAGGGAGGGGAAAATAGACCGGAGTCTGGAGGAACCAGCAAAGACAACCATCCCTTAAAGAACAGACTCTAAACCAGCAGTTCTCAACCTGTGGGTTGCAACCCCTTTGTAACAATATGAAAATATATCCGGCATGTCAGATATTTACATTACGGTTCAAAACAGTAGCAAAATTACAGTTATGAAGTAGTAATGAAAATAATTTTATGGTTGGGGGGGTCATCGCAACATGAGGAACTGTATTAAAGGGTCATGGCATTAGGAGGCATTAGGAAGGGGGAGAACCGCTGCTAAACTTTCAAAATGTGGGCTTACAAATGATCTGTGTCTGTACTTGGATTTTGGAATCAGTGTCTAAGACACATCAATAGAAGCCTGCTGTTCACAGCCAATTAGGGTTTCACCTGTGAATCACCCACGCTGGCAGAGAAACTTGCTGTAGCTTTAGCTCTGGGCTCCTCTGGCAAAGAAAACTGGGGGGCAAGCTGGCCCTCCATCTCTCCCAAAGCCTGGCTGGGGCGCCATGCCCCGCGCCCCCCCTCCCCCCGGCCATCACCAGCCTCTTCTCTGTCTTGCCTGGACCTCGCCTCAGTGAATCCTTTCTAAGAGGGAACACCCCAAACAAAAGACATTACTCAGAAGGAGGTATACAGACTCCAGAGGCAAATACCTGTGACATTATGGGATGAGGCTTCCATCACAGGCCCAGTCAGGCTCTCCCAGCTTCTCTCCTCTCCTCGCAGGAGACTGCTGGTTCCTGGCAGCGCTGGGCTCTTTGACTCAGAACCAACAGTGTCTGCAGAAGATCCTGATGGTCCAGAGCTTTGCACACCAGTATGCGGGGATTTTTCGTTTCCGGGTACGTGCGCCACTCTGATGCTCCTTAGATGACAGGGTTGTTTGTGAGTACGAGGGAGATGAGAGTCTTGAATTTTCTCATGGCCTGGCAGCCTGAGATCAAAGTGATGCTCACACATTAGTTAGCCTGCCTACCTCCCTAAAAGGATTTGAGCTTATACTCTGACAGCACATAGGCAAGATAAGAATTAAAATGTTTACATGTAAATAAAAATGGCAGACCCAATCAGCACAGAGTCACTGATCAAGAACCCTGTAGCCATCCCTGAGTTGTTGCCTCTGTGTCTATGCTTGTGCCATATTGTATTATTTTGATTACAGTAGCTTAATAGGAAGTGGCAGCATCTGGCAGGGGAAGTTCTCCTTCATTATTCATTATTCTTTTCTCCAAACTATCTTGCTAATTCTTGCACGTTTATTCCTTCATGAGCATTTTAAACCCATTTTGTCTAATTAAAAAGAAAAGCCCCCGTGATACGGAATGAAGCAGCTTTAAATTTCTGCATTAACTTGGAAAAATTACATTTTTATTATTTTAATTATTCCTTTCCAGAAACATGGTATACCTTTTCTATTTGTTCAGAACTAGTTTTATGCCCTTCAATAAAATGTTATAGTTTTGTTTTCAGCCTGGTATATAATCTTCCCGGTAAATTTATTCTCAGATATTTTACCATTTTGTTGCTGAGACAAATGAGGGGTTTCTTCCTCCGAATTTCTAACTAGATGTTGTTGAAAAAGAGAAAAGCTACTACTTATTACATATTACACGGCAGCCAGCCACCTTCCCAAATTCTTCTATTAGTTCTCATTTTCTTCTCTAGCGGAACCTAGGTGGGTTTACTTACTCAATAATATTATCTGCAAATAAAGATAATTTTCTCTCTCTTTTTAATATTCATAGAACTTATTTTGCTCTTTGCCTCATCACATTAGCTAGAACCTCACAGTTTGGAATATGAGTCACAAGAGCTAAATTCTATCCTCTCTTGATTTTAAAACTGTGCTTTTTGTATATGCCACTCTGTTACTGTGTTCTTGGATTCAAGTTGCTATGAATTTTGTTAGGCTTTTTGCACTTATATCATGGGTAAAATCAGTTTCTAGTTTGTTATTTTATCATGTAGCTTTTTTTTTTTTTTTGGCAGTTTTTTTTTTTTTTTTGGCCAGGGCTGGGTTTGAACCTGCCACCTCTGGCATATGGGGCCGGTGTCCTACTCCTTTGAGCCACAGGCACCGCCCTATCATGTAGCTTTTTAAAATAACTGAGCTTTACCGTTTTTAAAATTTGAAATAATTTGAATAATAGTCCCTCATTATTGATTATCTATTCTTTGAAAGTAAATGTGATTTCTTTAACTCTTCCAGTGTATTCAATAGACATTGATCTGCTTGGGTCTTGTATTTCTGCTGGAATTAGCTCTTTAAATTTACACTTTTTGGGGAAAAATCAATCGTTTCTTCAGTTTTTCCAAATATATTACTGCTTGTATGACTCTCTGATGATTTATTTAATTTCTTGTAATCTGGGGCTAAATCTGCTCTTTCAATCCCAGGGCAGTATTTTTATTTTTCCTTTTTTTCTCCTGCCCTATTCTTTGGTGCTCAAAGGTTTATGGCCTTTCTATCTTCTTGTTGGAGTAAAACTTGTATAATATACCTCTTTGTTATATTTAATGCTTCTGACCTTGAATTTCTTTTTATCTGATGTCCAGACTGCCACCCCCGCTTCTTGCTGTTTGCACTTCCCCGTCTTATCTTTGCTCATCTTTTTATCATCAATTTCATTTTCTCTTTTATGGGTATATGTTTCTTGTAAAATGCATATTTAAAACTCATTGTTTACTACTGTTTCTTCCACCCTTTTTTCTCTTTATCTTGAGATTTTTACTGTAGCTTAACCTGCATTTGGTAGAAGTGGTTCCTTGAATAATTTTCTCAGAAAACATGGGTTTTTAATTTGCTCTCACTTAAGAATGATATTTTTAGTTTAGTTTAGAATAACTGGATCACATTTCTTTTCCTGAAAAGTTTGTAATCATTGTCCCTTGTCCTGTAACTTTCCAATATTGCAGAGGGAAAATTTAATAGTAATCTATTCTCTTGACTTTGTATGCAACATGTCCTTTTAAACTGCAAGTCTATAAGAGCCACGCTCGCTCCTTGGAGTTCAGACTTTTCTTTAGAAGATATTTAGATGTGTTTCTTCTAAAAATCAATCTTGCCTGAAATTCAGTGAACTTTTGCAACCTGAAAGCCTACATCCTTCTGCTCTACTAAGTTTCCTTCTATTATTTCTGGGCCCCCTCCTTTATCTTGTTTTTGACTCCTGGCATCCAACTATTTGCATGCTCGGTCTCCTGCTAGGTCTCCAGTGATGTTACTGATGCTGATCCGAGGACCATGTCAGGAGTGAGCTACCGCATCCAGGACTGAGTTGTGTCTGGGCTCACCCAGCAGCATCCATGCTGATGAGAGTCAGGACACCTGGGTGGTTATGACAACTCAAGACCCAGACAGGGAGGACATATTCTGCCCTTCCAAGTGACAAAGAAAGTTACACAGTTTCTCAGGAGCAATTGCCGTGGGCTGACCTCTGTAGATCTCATCACTGTGAGCTCAGGCACTGATCTCTGGAAGTGACCCAGTGCCTGGGGCACCTCTGGGCCTCTGCCCAAAACACTTCCGATGTCCCTGTTAGACCCTTTACTTTTGGCAAAATGGCAACAGTGTGGTTCCTGAAGGATGCAGACGTTATCCAAATGCCAGCTCAACTCTCCCAGAGATGTAAACCAGGAAATGCAGGTTGGTGGCCTCATTTTTAATCACTGGTCAGGCCATTGATATCCTCTCTGGGAGGGGCAGTCTTGTTTAGTGTCCCCTTTGTTTAGGAAGAACAAGTTTGGTCAGCATTCCTGGTGTGGGAAGATAGGGTGAGGGTGACTTCTAAGATAAACTAACCAGGACTTGGTTGTTCTTGATGGCCTACTGTGTGCTGGGAGCTGTCCTGGGTGCTGAACAAAACAGCTACTGAAAAACAGTCTCTACTCTGAAACTGTGATCTCATTTTCACAGTCTCATCTGAT